TGTGACACTTTCATGCAAGGTAGAAGTGTGAGAGGACTCAGGCTCATAGTCATCCTCTGACATCCGCATGTGCACTCTGCCACATGTGTGTGGTAGAGGGTATAGATATGATAGGATAAAAGGGTGCATTATCGAATCTACTCTGTAAGGAAAAAGAGAAGATATTGATATAAGATAAAAGGTAGATTATTGAATCTACTTCTAAAAATTATAGACATGATGAGATACAATGGTAGATTATTGGATCTACTTTTACAAGGCAACTACTGGTTTTAAATATTTTACATTGGATTGGACTTCTGTATATTGAATATAAATATTGTATATTGGTACAAATTTTAGATTAATTTGTTAAGATAAATTGTGTATGTGTTTCTAGTATCATTCAAGGTATTGTACCTATTCAGTTCATTTATGAATATAATGCAAATTTCTAGTCCTTGAAAGTTATTATTACCAACTGTGTAAGAGAACAAGGAAATGTAGGCAAGTAATTAGTCATCTATTACAACTGAACTTATAACCACATTAGGTATGTTTTCAAAGTCAAACAGAGATATATTAGATAGATAGGTCATCTCCAAACACTTGAGAAATCTACAGAAAGTAGCATTTAAAATGTTTTAAAATATATGTATTTTTATGACAATGAGACATGTCTACTCCTGGTAGCACCAATTCACTTAAGAGAAGACGGTGATGCATCGAGGAAACTCACATGGAGTTTACATTCTTTGTGGCAAAAGTAACTGGGCAAGAAAGTACCCTTGCCTTGACTGCCAACACTATGCTGTCCAAATCGGACAAAAGGACACAAAAGACAGTGACTGTGAAACCTTGCCTTTCAGAAAATGCTCCTTCACAGAAAAGTCTGTCAGAGATGCTAGGCTTATACCTGAAGACGGATGCCCCAGTGTTGCAGAGGAATCTTGGGTTCAGGCAGCCAGCTGTTTTTATCATTTCTCACATTTTTTGCAAGTCCCTTGCTTACAATTCCTGCTTGCTCAGTTAATAATATTTCCTTCTTGGGGAGGTGAAGACTAGTTTGTTACAAGGTATTTTTCCTCCAGCCTGGTCCCACTGCCGTGCCAGCCCCAAATAACACACAGAGACGCTGTATTAGATATAAAGCTTTTGGCCTGTTACTAGTATTTCTTATTGGCTAGCTCTGTCTTAAATATTAACCCATTTCTATCAATCTAAGTGTTTCCACGTGGTCTTATCTTACCGGAGAGAGTTTACGGAGTTCTGCTCTCTCTTGGTCCTACGTGTTGAATACCTTCCTACCTCCTCCCGAATTCTCCCTGTCTCCTAGTCACACCTATCTTACTTTCCTATTGGCTGACAGTTCTTTATTTATTAACCAATAAGAGAAACATATTTACAGAATGACATCTCCCATCACTTGTTAGTATAGTTATAGTTTTTATAATGTACCAGACTAAGGAAAGAAACTCACTTTAAGATGTGCAAAGTGTAAATGGTTTGAAAGACATTAAAAGATAATTGGACAATGTAAATTGGAATAGAAAGTAAATTAGGTACAAGACTTTGGACTCACAAAGGCAGGATAGATAATGTAATATTTTCTCTGAATTTGTCAAATGCAAATGGACTAGACATTGTTGACAAACTGATTGCCTGTATATATTGTCTATACTTATTGTACTTATTGTATATAGTTTTCTTATGTTAGTTCTAGCCTTCTTATTTTTGTATTAGACAAAAATGGGAATTTTAGTGATCTATTATTTATGATTTATTAAAATTTGCCTGAGGATTTAGAAAGAAAAGTCAGCCACAAGCCATAGAAACCAGGCACATGCCTTTAATTGGAGTAGCCAGAAGCTAGGAAGTGGTGGTAAACACCTTTAATCCTGGGATTTAGGATTAAGATGTAGATGGATCTCTGTGTGTTCAAGGCCACCCAGATCTACACAAGATTGATCAAGTCCTAAAGAGAAACAGCTCACACACATATGATCTCAGCACCTGGGATCACACCCCTTTAATCTCAGCACTAGGGAACTATAAAGGCTAGAAGCAGGGTCTTCAGTATTCAGTATGAGGCATTCAGTCTCCAGCCATGCTGAGGAGAGCTTACGGGTCAGAACTTTCAGCTTGCGGTACAGGTAACCATTAGTGGCCAGCTGCTTTGCTTTTTAGGATAAGTAAAATATACTCATTTGGAGAGCTCTTCATACCCCAATAACTTAGAGGCAGCTTCAATTAATTCACACCCATAGCAGCCTGAATTAGGATAATAAACACCATGGTGGAGGGAATAAAGGAGCCCTCAGTGGTGAGCAGAGACATGAAAGACAATAAAGACAGAAGAGAGGAGGACTACATTAGAGACGGCGACTATGAAGTCGATCCTGCCAGCCAGGTACAGCGATGAAAGGGTAATTGTTGAAAGAATTAAGAGACCTTGTGAGTGTAAAGTTGATATTCCTGAAGAACACATAGCAGGGAAGGAAGATGAACTTTAATACAGCAACTTTCTGGAAATGACAAGTAAGTCTGAGAAATCCAGGGCATCCCCACAACAGGGTGAAGTTCCTCATTTTCTCTACGTGGAGCTATTGAGTTGAGACTTAAGGAATGGGTTCTTACTCAGTGACACTTGATATGCACACCACATAAATACAGCATAGTGTGTTTTGAAAGACCCACAGAGCATGGACCTTCACACTCCCACTCAGGAAAGGCGACACCCCAAATCACTCACGAGAAGCAGTGTTGATGCAAAAGCATGAGGACTTTTGATTCCAAATCACTGGGGTCCACAGTCATGGGCCACGCAGGGGTAGAGGTCTGAGGACCCTGAGACAGCTTTTATAGGTTTACAACAAAGCCCCCATCATAAAAAATCATCTCATAGAATCCAGAGCCGCGCGGTGCAGGCCAATCAATTTAAACCATCCACACCCGCACTTTATAGACCAATCAGTTTCCTATAGCCCCAGAGGTCTGCATTTGTGCGGGCTCCTAGGTGGGGTGACAAATGGCAGTTAGGTTAGGTCGCTGGGGCGGGGGTTTAACAAGCAGTTTAAAAAGTCACATAAGTGGCAAGAAGTGTGACCTTTCGCCTATTTACTGGCTGAGGACAGGGTCTGGCATTTAAGGTATTTAGTGTTTTTAAACTTCTAGCTTCCTGGGGTCATTGGAGAGTTAGGCTGTATTTTTCATCCTAACAAACACCTCCGATACCGGTTTGGCTGCTGGAAATAACACTGGTATGTCCTTTTTGTGAGTCATTGTGTAATTGCTGGGAATTGAACTCAGGACCCCTGGAAAAGTAGCCGGTCCTCTTAACCAATGAGCCATCTCTCCATCCCATATGTCCTTTTTGGACCTGCACATTGTGTACATGTAAACAAAATTACTATAGCATGGTTCGATTTCTTAGCATTAATAAATGTGCCAAAGTCTTACAACACAGTTACAGGTATTTATTCTTCCCTAAGGTGTAACATGTCACCCCTGAAAATTTATGTACTGGTCTGCTTAAATCAGAATAGTAGGGGTGTGATGGTCTCTCACAGGAAACATCAAACACTGTTGGGTGTGGCAGGACCTTGTTCCCTATTGACACTGCCCATCCCATTAGGGGATACAGCACAGCGCATTACCTTGGTCCTCTGCATATAATAACTTCTCAGCTTGCACTGTACGCTCATTCCTCTCTTACCTGTTGTATTTAGTTCTTTGTTGCTGTCTACCATACTGCTGACAGGGATGTTGTATCATTTCAATTTACTTATAATAGAGCATAATGCAATGAGACCTGTCATGCAGATCTATTTCAGTAGTCTTGGAAATATCCCATTCTACTAGGCATTTTTACCTGCGAACTTTTTCCATATATTCTCTCCCCCCTCCTTTTTTATATTTTAAATTTGAAACAAGCTTGTTTTGCATATCAATCCCAATTCCCTCTCCTTCCCCTCCTCCCCTGCCTACCCAACCCTCTATTTCATTCAGTTTCTGCTCCCCAGGGAGGGTAAGGCATTCCATGGGGGAGTCTTCAAACTCTGTCATATGATTAGGAGCAATAGAGAGATCACCCATAGGCTTAGGGTATCTCCCAAGAATCCACTGTGAGGACCCCAACCAAGACTCCTAGCAATAGTAGAGAAGATGCCTGAAATGCCCTACCCCTCTATTCAGATTGATGAATAACCCAACTATCATGGAGTCCTCATCTAGTAACTAATGGAACCAGACACAGAGATCTAAAACCAAGAACCAGACCGAGCTCCAGGAATCCAGGCAAACAGAGAGAGAGAAAGAAACATATGAGCAAGGGAGGTCAAGATCATAATGGAGCAGTCTACAGAGAGAGCTGAACCAAGTTCTAGGAAATTAATGGACTCTAGATGACCTACAACTATGCAGACTCCAGGGAACTGAACTATATCCTTTGTATAGTTGTGAAACTTGGACTATCAGAGGGACCCCTGGCAGTAGGACCAAATTCAAACCTGGTACATGAGCTAGCTTGTTGGAGTCCATTCCCTATGGTGGCATGCCATGTTCAGTCTTAATGCATGAGAGGGGCCGGGGCCCTGCCCTAACCTATTGTGCCAAACTGTGTTGACTGGGGTCTTGGGAGCCCTTAACCGTGAGTAGGAGTGGACCAGGTTGTGTTAGGAGAGATGTGAGGGAGTGTGAGAGGTGGCCAGGTGTTGGGAGAATGGGTAGGAGGGCAACTCTGCTTGGAATGTAAAATAAAATCAAAAATTAAAACTGGAAAAAGTGAGGAGGAAAGGACATAACTCTCGGGGCATTTTCTATTTGTAGTGTGCTTAGACTAATCCTCTCAGCTGCCTCAAAACTGATAAGGACTGGTTAATGAATCACCCAGACAAGCTGGACTGAGCTTATAAAGTCCTTATCAGGAATAACATACAGAATATAAAGGTTTTTCTCCCTCCTCACAGTTCTGTTCAAACCTCCTCATCAGTTCAGCTAAGACTCTTCCTCTCAGCTCATAGATGCCTGCCACGGAGATTGAAGAGGCTTCCATGGACATGCTAAAGACAGACCTCACTACTCCAGACATCCTTCAAGAGGTAGAAATAGGTATGTGTTTTAATTTATTCAAAATAAAAGATAGAGATGAGATTCACCTGGGACCCTCAGAGGAGCTGAACCTCCTGCCTGTTGGCCTGTCACAATGGTCCCTATAGAAATGGAAATTCGAGGAGACCTCTGTTACCTGTTATTTTAGCTGCTCTGTTACAGTATTTTATATTTGAGTATTTTTAGGCTAGAAAGGTTAATAATAAATTAATTGCAAATGCCTAAAATATGACTTTATTTGTTTGGTTTGTTGGTATGGGACACTTTGTGTAATTTATTTTTGGTGTGTATGGCCCAACCTAGAGACCTGTGGGGACAGCAGGCTGAGGATCATTTAATCAGCATAAGATATGGGCAGGTGCAAGCAGGATGTTCAGGCTTCCTTTTTCAGTCATTTTCCCCAGGGCTGACTAATACTGCTTTAGTATGTCACAAGCTCGCGATATTTGAGCTTTTGAAAAATACAGGGTTAAGTCATAAAGCTGCTATAAACACAACAGGTTTTTCTTTTTTTATGTAAACACAGGCATTTCCCTCAGATACAAGGCATGAGGTAAATATAGTCTCATTATAACAAAATGCTAAACTATTTTTCAACTATTTTCTCCAGATTTTGGTAATACTAAGCACAGTTAAGGAATGCAGTTACTATGTAAGCGTCATCTTATTCCATAAGATGGCTCATTTTCATTTTAAAAAAATCAATCTGTGTTTATAGTGCATGTGTACTGTAGACTGGGAAAAGCAGATAGTTCTTACATGGAAAGAGGCTAAAAACTCTACTGCATATGGTGCTTAGACAGTGGGGTTTCATTATGATTCCCATCTCATCCTGTGTATTATAACAGACTCAAAATGGATCACACACTCAAACAGGAAGCGTAGAACCTAAATCTATTTCAAGAAAAAAAATGATAAATATCTTTCCAAATGAAAGCGTGGCTGATAAATTAATCCATCCAGAATGACTCAACTCCTCCTGAACAGCATCAGAAGGTTGGTACAGACACCATTACAAGAGGTTATTTAACAACTCAAAGTCATTCAAAGTGAGTGTACACTCCAAAACAAGATTGGAGGAGGCTGCTCTGAAGGTGGGAGGTTGCCCATTGGGCTCTGACTGGTAGAATTTACACTAGTTTCTTACACTCCCAATTCCACAATGTCATTGTTAATTTCTCCTATTGGCAATTTCCTTTCTCCTATGTTACAGAAATTGCTCCAGAGCCAAAATGTTCCTATGGTATTCCTTCCATGCTCATCAGCTTACTCATTAGTGTCATGTGTGGTCATTGGCAAAGTCCCTTGGTACTTTAGTTTCTTACATGGCAGGAGGAGCCCAACTGTAGCTTCAAGGGTGTCTATCCACAAAGGAACATTGCAAGCAATGTGTCAAGAGACACAGCCACCAATACACAGCCATAATCCTCTTGACTCCCTCCCTGGACAGGAAGTACCCAACTAGAAAAATGAGGGTATGCATGTCCCTGCTCCCCTCCTGCTCATATCTGCTCAGCTGCACTCTCTTAACACTTACAGTACCTTTCCAGACCTTCGCTCATGTTAACCACTGATTCGCAGAGCTGCTTTGCTCACAATGGTTTTCCTGAAGAATTTTTTTCCTCAGTATTTTCACAAATGAATTATTCTTTGATGTTTGATATGTTGGAAAGTTATTATCAACAACAATGTAAGTACTTATTTCTGACAAGTAAGAATACTGATTGTAAGACCCTCAGAATGAGGAGTCTCCCAATTTCGGTCGGTACCCCCAAGAACTCAATGTCCAGTCCAGTTGTTGCAACACGCAAGAGGCTTTAATGAACAGGAAACGTTTGCGCAAATGGGCTCCTCCAGCATGCAGGCTAGAGAGAAGCACCATCCCACAGGTGTTTTTAAAGGCAAAACCCACAAGCTTAGGGTGGGGTGGGACCCTCTGTCCATTGAATACATGACCCTTTGAGGCTGGATGGTCTCACTATTAGGGTCAACAGACCTTAGGGCCTCAGGGTGTGCTAATTAATCTTGTCTGGGAAAACCTGAGGTACAGTTATCTCTTTGTTTCTTAAGGACCCTATTCACCACCTGCTGACTCACAAGAAAGGAGGGGCAGTGTGAATTCTTGGTATCTTGTTATCTCAGGACCTTGTGAGGGGAACTTAGCAAATTCCAAGGAACAGATATTGGTCTGGGTTAGCTTTCCAGGTTAGTCTGTCCTTCATTTCAAGTGGAGGGGATCTTTAACTTTACTTTTTTGTCTTTCACTGATGACATAGAGCATTGCCTGATCTTGCAGATGATCCAGGTTTGATCCAGGCACCCACATTGCACCCTCCAGCCATGGAAAACTCAAGTCCCAGGGGATCCAATGCCCCCTTCAGGCTTCTAAGTGCACTGCATGCACATGGTGCACAGACACACATGCAATCAGAACATCTATACAGGCAAATAATAGTTTTTTATTCAAAAATTATTTTTAATTCAAAATTTACTTGGACCATAGCATATGCTTCAAGTTAAGTAATTAAATTGGATAATGAGAGTCTAATGTATATAGATGACTATTTTAACAGAAATTTTAGAGTGCCTCCTTAGACGGTAAATTCAATTTTGTTCTTTTGAATAACACAGAAAATTTGTCAAGTTTTTTCAAAAAAGATCATACACAAGAGATTTATTAGGATAAATACTTATTTTTTTAATTTCTCCAACTGAAGAATTAAAAAGATGTTATTAAATTTTACTAAAATAACTAAATATTTAATTGCATACTTACTACACTTTGTGCATGAGCCATAAGCTATAGACAGGTGTGGAAGAAAGAAGAGATGAAAAATTTTAAATGGGAAGGCTTGTAGAACTGTGGGAAGAGTTAAGGCCTTGTCTTGGTCCATTTTTGTTGCCATAATAAGAAACTGGAGAAAAGAGACCCTGTCTCACAGCTCTGGAAAATGGCAAGCCCAGATGTAGGTGTCACCAACTCTCCAGGACATGATTGTGGGTGGCAGCAGAGTGGGAAGTGTCACACTGACAGAATTCTGTTTGCCTTGAGTCATTCTCCTTATCACAGCATTAGTCAGTTATTAACTTTGGAGGTATCGATAAAAACAAATTCTTCCCTTGCCAACTCTGGGCCTCTGGAGTCAGAGTCAGGAGCAAGGACTTTAATCAAGGTTCTGCAGCCCAGATGTGAGATAACCTGGAGTGGAAGGTAGAGGTGAGGACTTTGCAAACAGTTTTCTGTAGCTCTCTGCAGATGACCTCATGCAGAGATCAACAAAGTCCAAGCAAGGCCCCCAGTGCCCTCTGCTGGCCTGGGCTTCCTCCTATAGAGCACCTCTCTGTGGCTGTGTACATTTACATTTACAGAATAGAGACATTGGAAGAGGGCATCTGTAAGAGTCACAGAGGTTTTTATAGTCCCTGCTTTGTGCCACCAACTGTGCTGGCAGGGCCAACAGCCTTGACAGTCCAATGCAGACATCTGGTGTGGAAGGAAAGTAATACAGATGAGCTTTGCAGCAGGAGTCAGGACACGGGATTTCAGACACGTTTCAGTTTCTTTTGGCAGATCCAGCGGTTGTCTGCCGAACAGGAGTCAGAAAACACTTCTCTCTTTGAGAAGACAGCACAGCTGTCTTCTTCAGCCTTGCCAGTGACCTGTAATCTGAGGAACAAAGAACAGCTGTTCCTAGTCTTTAGGATTTTCTAACAATGATCATATCAACCATTTCTGAATATTTAAAGATGCTGCAGATTACATAGTGTAAGCATAGTAAACACGCAATAACAAACATAAGCATATATAAACATTAAAGATACTGCCAATGGAAACCTCTTGGATTTTCAATTACACCTTCACTGGAGAAGAATTAATCCATCAAGCATCTTTATCATGATATATGAAAAGGAAAAGGTGTGCGAGTCCATCCTGAAAACTAGATCTACTACTAATATGTCTGTCATGTGATCATGTGGAAAGCATCTTCATCTTGCTGAGCTTCAATTCCCTCAAACATATTATTCATAACCAACTACTGCTTAGGGAAGGCATTGAGTTATACATTAATGTACGACCATGTTGCACACGGTAGGTGCTCAGTAAATGTATTCAACATACAGGGTGAGACAGCAGGCCCACAGACTTGGATGCAGAAAGAAAAGGAGCCTCAGTGTAGGGGGAAGCCTCCCTTTCCACCGTGTTTCTGTCACTGTGCTGTGTAGTGCAGACTCACTGGCCCAGGTGCTTCTGCTGTCACAGCCTCCCCTCTCTCTGCAGGAGTGCTGTGGTTCCACTGGGCTACTTCTGAATCTGTAGAGTGCGTGCTCTCGAACTGTGATGTTTACACAGCCACAGCTTTTACCCAGAGCCATTTTCTCAGTCCACTTAAAACAGAAGCAGGTTTGACTGACTCTCTTGATACTATAACAGGGTGACCTCCAAATTTACCTGGTCACCGCCGTCTAATCAGTCTAACCCTTCATCCAAAGAGTAGAATCACACAGCCGCTGAGCTAAATCCTCTGCCTTACATGGCTTCCTTCAGATGTCATCATATTGTTACTATGAATCTAAACAAATATGCATTTTACATCACAGTACAATTACACACAGAGAGAGAAAATCAATACATACACAAAGGAAAAATGTCAAACCTTACTATGTGAAATTATTTTTAAATAACAATGTCTATATTGATTCTACCTTTAAAAAGTTATTTCATGACACACCATAGTGTGTGGCAACATGTTTGCTGCAACAATTCTAAAGTACTACTTAAGAATATCTGTGTAGACATCCTTAGCTATCAGGGAAATGCGAATCAAAACAACTTAGAGATACCATCTTACCCCTGCCAGAATGGCTAAAATTAGAAACACCAGTGATGACTTATGCTGGAGAGGATGTGGAGAAAGTGGAACACTCCTCCACTGCTGGTGGGAGTGCAAACTCATACAGCCATTTTGGAGATCAGTATGGCGGTTCCTCAGGAAAATGGG